ATACACACACACAAACACATATACACACATGCAAACACATACACACACACAAACATACACACACACACACAAACACATACACACACACAAACACATACACACACATGCAAACACACACACACTTTAAATAAAGAGAAAAAGAAAGAATATAACTAAGTGGCTGGATCTGCAAAAATTAAAGACTTCCAGTTGTAGTTAATTCAACTGGGAGGATGGCCAAGCTTGGTTTCAACCCTGCTGCTGACAAAACATCAGAACATGACATGTCACCATTCCTTCTTCCCTGCCCCACCCTAACCCCACCCTGGGGCTGGAAGTGCCTGGTGCTCCCTCCTGTGCTTAATTAACACAGTTACGGGACTGCTGTGTGGAGCCTTTCAATCCAGGCCCAATGATTACCTTGTCAGCCACATTTGTGCACCCTCCTGCCTCGATGAGTGCCCGGGACATGTCTTCAGAGCCACAGAGGGCTGCGTAGTGGAGGCAGCTCAGCCCTTTCTAGAGAGAAACAGGCATCAGGGCAATTTTCCGAGTCGCTTTCATGTGGGTGCGACAAGGCACCTTGAGATTCGTATCCCCCTCAAGTCTCATGGCGGGAGACATCTGTGATTTGCCCAGGCCTTGTGGCTTGCAAAGAGCCCACTGTGGCCTTTACCACAGTGACTTTCGTTAGGCCACATAGCGAAGCCACGAAGAAGCCAAGACCAAGACCCAGGATGACTGCCTTAAAGCCTCTATTCACAGAACATTTAGGAATCAGCTATTTCCGGTTGCCATACGGTAGCTAGTAGCCTGGGGAAGGAAGCCATCAGTCTCAGGAGGGCTGGGTACCTGGGTGAGGGCATTCACGTTGCTCCCAGCTCTGAGAAGAAGCATCACACAGTCTGTGTGGATCCCTTCAGTGGCTGCATGCAAAGCAGTCAGGCCTTCCTAAAACACACAGGGAGGGGATGAATGGAGACTGGGGAAGTTGAAGCCAAACCTATGAAGGACACACGCCTCTGTTCTGGCCCTTTGAGCTCTCAACCACCTACTAATGAGGACAAGAGTCTTGGTTACCTGTGACTTCTGAGCCCACACTGATGGTCTGTGTGGAATGCTGTCATCAACTGACACCATGCTGTCATCAATACCTCAGTCCATGTGCTTTTTGTCCTTTAAGTCAGCTCACCCTCACCAGTCTAGTCCCTCCTATGTCAGAAAGTCATTCCTGACCATCTGGGTGGTGGCAACTTCTCATGTTTGACAATCCAACCTATCTGGCTCTCTGCTCAACCAGGTTCCTGGGTTTCTGCTCACCTCCTCCTGGTAAGTGTCACTGTGAGAAAATGCCCTCAGCTTCCTGCTCCAGATCACTACCAAGACAAAGTCACACTGCACCACAGGCTGGGGCCTCCTCAAAGACAGAGAGCATCTCACCTGTCTGTGTGTGTCCCCAGCTGATGACTCACCGTGTTTTGTTCTTCCAGATCTAGCCCAATGTCCACAAGTCTCTGTAGCACATCCATGTGGCCCTGGCTGGCAGCCAGGTGCAGGGCTGTGTTTCCACCCTGCAGGAAGAAGACTGTTTGAAAGGTCCACAGATACAGGGTCCCCAAATACGTATGTCAGTATATCAGAGAACCCCCATTAGAGCTGCCCCCCCCCCACTTTACAGGCACAGAAGTTAAGGCCCAGAGTGACATGTTAAGAATTACAGATCAAGTCTGACAAGCGTCATCCCTGTGCACTGCCAAAAGGCACAACCAGGAGCATTCTCAAGACCTGGTCCTCCACACACACTTCTTCGTTATGATTCAAGGCAGGTTCAATTAGGGCTGGGAATGTAGCTCAGTTGGCAGAGTGATTGTCTAGCATGCACAAGGTCCTAGGTTCAATCCTCAGGAGTATATAAACCAGGCATGGCAGTGCTACCTATAAACCCAGTGCTTGGGATATAGGGGCAGGAGGATAAAAAGTTTCAGATACGCCAGGTGGTGGTGGCTCACGCTTTTAATCCCAGCACTTGGGAGGCAGAGGCAGGCGGATTTCTGAGTTCGAGGCCAGCCTGGTCTACAGAGTGAGTTTCAGGACAGCCAGGACTACATAGAGAAACCCTGTCTCGAAAAAACAAACAAAAAACACAAAAAAGTTTCAGATACATACTAAACTTGAAGCCAGCCTGGACTATATGAGACTGTCTCAAAGAAAGAAAGAGGATGGAGGAGAGAAAGAGAGAAAAAGAAAAGAAATTTCACCTTGGATATCTTATACCCTGCCAGCTAGCTCACATGCCCTGAAGTACCCACTGGAAGAAATCAGACAGATGACACATTCTGGCCTTTTGGGACCTTTCCCTCTATCAGAACTCAAATCAGAAGTAAGCTGGAGAGATGGTTCAGTAGTAAGAGTACTTGTTGCTCTTCCAGAGTGCCTGGGTTCAATTCCCAGCACCTACATGGTGCCTCATAACCATCTGACACCCTCTTCTGATTTCTGAGGGCACCAGGCATGCTCTCAGAAAAAGCATGCATACACATAACAAAAATCTGAGAAGAGAAACAAGGAGTAAGATCTTGAAGGTACCAGGACCAAGAAGGTACAGGGTGGCTGTTGCCTGGTCAGGAGTTTTAGTGTCACTCTCTGCCACCATACCTTGTCCTTGACACTGTGGTCACAGCCAGAGCCCACGAGGAAGTCCAGAGCATCCAGCTGTCCATGCTCAGCAGCTCTGTGAAATGCTGTCCTTCCCAGCTGGCCGGAAGGTGAGGGACAGTGAGCGTCCTCACACAGCCAAAGCACACACCTACAGTGGCCCTGCCTTCTGCTTTCCTCATCTCTCTGTGCTTGCAGCTGCCTCTCCCATTCCATTCCCCCTGCCACCTCTTACCTAACCTCAGCTTCTGAACAACAGCTCCTTTGTTGGGAGAAGCTCCCCCTTCTATTGCAGCCCTCCAGTGGCTCCCTGCTGCCTGCCACCAGAAGACACCTTCAGAGGTCTTTCCTGCCCTTAAAATTCCAAGGACGCTTTCCACCCCTTTCCAATAACTCTAAATCTCTCCCTCCCTAAATGACCCCTTTCTCTGACTTGTTTAGTCATTCATGGAAGTGAGAGTCAATCATGTTCTGTTTTCATCCCACCCATTCAGGTTCCCTCTAGGGACACTCAAGGTAGAGTACAATTTTTCTAGCTGATCAAAGAATGCACTCCAGATGTGCAGTACTCTAGTAGAACCTCAGCCAGTAAGATCCGTCAGCAATGCCCCAACTAATGGGTACATTCGGTAAGTCCCAGCCAATGGAAGAGTTGAATGGATGGCTTCGCCATGGATCTTACCTTGTCTGCATGGTCCAAGGCCACGTCTTCCAGATCTTCCATGACGAAGGCCAGCATAGGCATGTGGCCTTTCTGAGCAGCACAGTGTAGTAAGGTCAAGCCATCCTGGAAACAAGCCCAGGAGGGAACCCTGGAGTCTGTGAAGGGAAACCCTTCTCATACACTACCTGTCACCCAGCACACATGGCAACAATGCTGTCAATGATGAACAGAGAGCTAGGCATGACCAGTAAGGCTTCAGGATGCCGGAAGCCAAAGCCTGGCTCCATGCTCATCAGCTCTGGTTTGGGGCCAGTTGCCTTTACCTCTCTGAGTCTGCATTTATGCACACACTGCGTCAGTGCAGGTCAGAGCACAGGGGAAGTATATATGCGTCTCTAGCTGGCCTGGAACTCATTCTGTACACCAAGCTGGCCTCAAACCCATAGATATCCTCCTGCTTCTGCCTCCCAAGTGTTGTGATTGAAGGTTTTTCTCTATCATGCACGACTAGGAAACATTTTATAAACAGAAAAAAAAATCCAGACTGTAAGGTGAGATCACAAGAACATCCTACTGAAAAATTGTGTGAGAATTCTAGGCACCGGCCTCCTTCATACAGCTACAAATGAAGAAGCCGATGACAGAGCTGGAGAGATGGCTCAGCAGTTAAGAGCAGGCTGCTCCTACAAAAGATCTGAGTTCAATCCCCAGTACCCACATCAAATGGCTCACACCTGTTTGTAACTCCAATTCAAGGGGATCATCTGGCCTCTTAGGGTACCTAAATGCATGTTTTGCATATAAACTCATGCAGGCACACACTAGGGCAGACACACACACACATACAAATGAAGCAAAAAAATGAAGCCATTAGTAGGGTGCTCAGTATAAAATTACTAAAACTGACCTCCTAATCTCCCAGGGAGAACAAAGGCCAGATGTGCTAGGCAGGATCTGGAGACAAGAGGTCTCTGAGAGGGAGGGGGGAGTAGGAAGAGAGAGGTCTTTTGAGTGATATTTAATTTCCTGAGTGATATCTAAATGGAGGAGACTTACAAAAGACCCAGGATTTCCACTCCTGGCTGCATTAAGGTTGTAGTACCTGGAGTGCTGTTTGTCCTTTTAAAAAGTATTTTTAGAGCTCAGCATTTAAACAAGATGACTTGTTGCTCTTACAGAGGTCCCAGGTTCCCATCACCCACACGGTGGTTCACAGGATGCCTAAAATGGGTGAGTAGGGCCACATTTCTTCTAAAGGCTCAGAGAGAAGGTTCAGTTAGGGTTACTGGAGTTACAAACAGTTGTGAACGGCCATGTGCGTGCAGGGGATTGAACTTCCAGCCTCAGCTTCCTTTGTTAGCTGTCTCTTTCTAGTTCCCCATGTGAACTCCTGTGATCATAGGGGGCTCAAGTGGATAACCCAGGAAAAACAACCTTCCCACTTCAAGATCTATAATCTCATTTGCAAAATGCCTTTTGTCAATTAGATCCCGTGAGTTCATAGGTCTGAGATTGGAATACAAACATCTTTTAGAGGTGTTTGGCACCATAAAAGGAAACCAATTTGGGGACAGGGCTCAGTAGATAGAGTTCTAGCTTAGCATACACAGGTCCTGGTTTCCATCCCAAGCACAGAACAAACAAGATGTGGAGGCATGCACCTGTAATCCCTGAACTGAACATGGATGGAGGCAAGAGGCTCATCCTCAGATACATGAGCAGTTCAAAGAAAGCCTGGGCTATATGAATCCCAGTGGAGGGTATTCCAAGCACCCAGATTTGTGGGACCCTGCTTTCTTTCTTTATCTCTTTCTCCCTTTCTCACTTTCTTTTCTTTTTTTTTGTTTTGTTTTTGTTTTTCGAGACAGGGTTTCTCTGTGTAGCTCTGGCTGTCCTGGAACTCACTCTGTAGACCAGACTGGCCTGGAACTCAGAAATCCACCTGCCTCTGCCTCCCAAGTGCTGGGATTAAAGGTGTGGGCCACCACCGTCCGGCATAGGGACCCTGCTTTCTTAAGTCACTCACACACCAAGTACTGAAGGAGGCCAGGTCCCTAAGGGGCCAGCTCCCACCCAGCCTGGGACACTATGCTCACTACTCATCTTGCTTCTCCAATTACTTCAAGGTATGTAGGAATGCCCCCATTTCCAAATGGGAAACAAGCTTGGGTGATAAAGTAACCACCCAAGATCTAAGAGTTGGTATCCAGGATTCCGATCCTTCCATCAGGCCACCCAAAGGATGAGAAGGGTAGAGTCTGACAGAAGACCTAAGGAAGACTCCCCTGTCGAAGCTCATCTTCCCAATGGCCCTGTAGAGTATTGGGCAGATCCCCAGCTGTAAATATGGAAAGCAGCTGACCAGACAGTGGAGAATTTCCACCCCAGAGCAGGGAAGGGTATAACAACCAGATGAGAGTTACCTGATGAAAACACCCGTTCTTTCTCCAGCCTAGGGGGGCTCTGCTCAGTGGGGACTGAAGGTTCCAGAAGGCCAGGCAAGCTGCCACAGGCAGAAGCAGGTGGGAAACAGAGGGGCCAGGGCTGTCACCTGAGGCTTACCTTGCTTTCACAGTGGACCTTGGCCCCAGCATTGACCAGGATCTGTACAATCTGCAAGTGGCCAAACCAGGCAGACAGGAGGAGTGCGGTCATCCCAAACTGGGGGAGAGGACACAGGCGGTGAGGAGAAAGGGAGGAGGCAGAGGCATGGCTGTGGCTACATGACCAAACCATTCCTCTATAGGTATAGATCAGAGCCTCAAGCTTCAGACACTTAAAAACCAGAAAATTTTGTTGGCTTTTTAAACAGATTTATTTATGTTGTTTTACATGTATTAAGGTTTTGCCTGTATATGTATACTACGTACCTGCCTGGCACCAGAGGAGGCTAGAAGAAGGTATCAGATCTCCTGGGACTGGATTTACAGATGGTTGTGAGCCACAGTGTGGTTTCTAGGAATCAAACCTGGGTCCTTTGTAAGAGCAACAAATGCTCTTAACCGCCAAGCCATATCTGCAGCCCCAGGTTAGCTGTTATTAAACCAGAGGCTGATAGACAATTGGAAACTTTCTTTTGCTAGATAGAGCCTAAAAATAAGACAGGTGCCATACACTTTCATCGGTACTTCAATAGAAGAACCATTGAAAATAAAATGTTTGTCTGGGCAGTGGTGGCGCACGCCTGTAATCCCAGCACTTGGGAGGCAGAGGCAGGCGGATTTCTGAGTTTGAAGCCAGCCTGGTCTACAGAGGGAGTTCCAGGACAGCCAGGGCTAAACAGAGAAACCCTGTCTCGAACCTCACCCCACCCCACCCCCAAAAAATAAAATGTCTGGCGAGAACAGATCTCCAGTTTGTTTGGAATTTTTTAAATTTTGCTTTGTTGTGTTTGAGATAGGTTCATATGTGGCCCAGGCTAGCCTTAAGCATGGCTAATGATGACTTTAACCTCCTGATCCTCAGACAACCTCTCAAATGAAGTCTGAGGTGTGTGTCACTATGTGACGCTTATATTGATTGTGTGTGCACATAGTGGAGCACATATGGAGGTGCCCTGAGCCCTATCCTTCCACATTTCTATGGCTTCCAGGTATTGATGGCTGAATTTAGGTTCCCAGGCTTGCATAGCACCTACCTTCACTCACTAAGTCATCACCTGCCTTTTGCTTGTTGGTTTACTTTAAGCTAGGGTCTCACTATACAGTCCTGGATGGTCTGGAAGGGACTATGTAAACCAGGTTGACTTCAAAGTCACAGAGATCCTCTGCCTCTCTGCCTCTCTGCCTCTCTGCCTCTCTGCCTCTCTGCCTCTCTGCCTCTCTGCCTCTCTGCCTCTCTGCCTCTCTGCCCTTGCCCCTGCCTCTGCCTCTAAAACGTTGGGATTAAATGTGTGTGATGCAGTGTCCAGTGGTTTCTTTCTTTCTTTATTTGGTTATTCAGTTTACATTTAGTTTGGGGACTAGTTGTGTAAACTGAGTTGGGGAAGTGCTTGCCTAGCAGGCATGAGATCCTGGTTATAATCCCCAACGTCTCATAAACTGGGCATAGAGGTGCACACCTACAGTCCTAGTTCTTTAGAGCTGTCAGGGAATGGAACACAAGCTCAAGGTCAGCTTTGAGTTTGAGGCTAGCTTGGGCTCCCTGAGACCTCTCTCTCTATGTTTTTTTCCATCCCCCACCCCCTACAGGTGAACCACAACTCCAACTCTGAGTTTTCATTCTTAAGTATACCCATATCAAATGTCACACTGTCAGACTCATCTCTTCTAAACCTGCAGAGGCAATTCCTTAGATCCTTTTTGCCCACCCCCCACCTCCATGCAGGGCACCAGCTACTCAGCTGCCCAGTATGCTCTAGGACACAGTTTCTTAGTAAGTTACCCATTAAGGTGCTGACCAGGGCAGAGCGCCATTGTCTCAGTATCACAGGAGACCCTCTTCTTGGGCCTTTTACTAATTAGGCCATTATTGATCCACGTGGTTATTTGTTCTACGGCTCACCAATCTCCCTCATCACATGGTGTCAAAAAGGACTAAAAATGTTCCCAGAATCGAAAGGTCATTTTATAATCACAAGCACTTTCTTCTTGTGTCAGGGGAAAGGGATGGGTCCAACGGCACTGGTCCCTGTCAGTCCCCAGGATCAACTTGGGTTCAGCCTATTATTTGTCTACACATCACTGTCAATTCCACCAATGACAACTGCTCACACCACACACACACAGACACACACACACACACACACACACCTCCCTACCGAGTCCACGTCGTCCACAGCAGCCCCGTGTTCCAGGAGCAGCCGCACAGCCTGCTCATGCCCAGCACCTGCAGCCCCATGTAGGGCCACTCTGCCCACCTGCCAGGAGGAGAAGAAAATTGTCACTATGCCCGACTGCCTGGCCTGCCCCCAGCACCCTCCCTACCAAGACAGCTGGCCTGCAGGGAGGAAGGGCTGTTGGTGGTTGTGCTGACCAGATGGCTGGGGACCCAGCCCTTCTTGGAGTTTCTTCTCCCTTACATGGTACAAATCATAAGATAAAATGACTGGGCCCATATTCACAGCTTCTCGCTGCTCTTGGAGTGGACCTACAAGACCCAGTGTGACCAGGCACTGCCCACCACACCCCACCAGCCACTGCTTCTCGAGGGGCCAGATGGTGTCCAGCTCCAAACCTTTCTTCCTACAGAAGCCACATGTGATCTAACATAGCTCTCAAAGTCCCCAAGGGAAACAGAGTGTCTGGTTCTTCCTTTACAGTGAGCTGACAGGGCCTGGCTGTCTGGCTTATTCTCCACCTCCCTGGGAGTTCATTCTAGTTTCTGGCCCTCAGTTCATCTGATCATTCTGGGCCGCCAACCTCCATCTGTGGAGTCCACTTCTCTGCCACCTCAGCTTATGAGAGGCACCAAACAGGAACTACTTTTCTGTGTAATCTCTGGAGACCTGACTTTTCTTCTTCAGAGCTTCTACCACGCTATCCCCTCTACCTAAAACACTATGCTTCACCTCACTTGAAGAAGCTTTCTGGGATATCTCCAGGTGGGACAAAGCCCTTGGACTCCTCCCTGTGCTTATAGGACAGTTTATCACCGTGGAAATGAGGTCATTGGTTTGCTGTCTTTGCTACCTCACCAGACTCTGTGAGTTCTGCTCTGTTCCCAGCACCTAGCACAGAGTAGTCCTTAGTGAATGAATGAATGAATGAATGAGCCAACACGTATGAGTAAATACATTGACTCAAAGGACAAGGACACTAATAAGTGTGTAAGTCAACATAACTAGTGAAACGATGGAGGATGGATGGATGGATGGATGGATGGATGGATGGATGGATGGACAAACAGACAAAGCCCTGACATCCTACAAGACCATGTTTCCCTGCAGGTACTTACTTGTCCAGGAGCTGAGACCAAAGCTTCAGTCACCAGCTACATGCTGCATGACCTAAAGTGACCTGCTTTTGCCCCATTGCACCTGCCTTGACCTATACACAGGGTCAATACTTCCTACTCTCCACATCTCTTCAGTGCTGAATGGCAGCCACCAAGCAGCTGGAGCACTCTGAAAACCAGAACACTGGAGACACACTCACAATTCTTGTTACTATTCCTATACCCAAAGCTGGGTCTGGAAGCTGAAGTCACGCCATGTCGCATCACCCCAGACGGTGCAGCTTCTGCTGGCAAGCATCTTGCACTCAAAACCTGCTACTCATGGCCTAGTATATCACCCAAGAAGTTCCTCAGAGCCAGAAATTCTGAGTCAGAGAGGGCCCGCCTGTGCCCTTCCCAGCCTTGAGCAGTCTGAACAGACCTTGCTTGCCACACAGGACCTTAACACCTAGGTGAATACAGCTGCTTTGTTTACACTTGCAACTTCTTGCAAGAACTTTGAAGAAGAGGCTGCCTGCTGAGCTTGCTTTGCAGCTGAAACCAAGAATGGACTCAGGTGGGCTTTCCCTATTTATACAAGAGCTGAATATTAAACTTTGAGCCTTGATCAGAAAACTTTTTCTTGGCTTCATGATTCTCTAACCTCTCTGTCCTTTTTTTCATTTCCAGCTCCCCTTTCAGGTGAACCCAGTCCCCAGTCCATCCGTGGCTGCAGGTGGCTACACCCATCCTGTATATCTGAGCCTCTTTAATGTCCACTTGGAAGACATGCTCCTCTCTCTATCTTCTTCCCCAGCAAGACCATGGACCCTACTGCTTTCCTGCCTGACTACCAGACTACCAAAATGGGCCTGTGCCTCCTCAGCTTTTCACACACAGTGGGGACAACAGGTATTAAGAAAGTCAAACCCAACTGCTGCTTCACACAAACTCCCTGGAGTCTGGAGTCTGGTCCCTCACAGACCCCAGAATCCTGTCTACCACACGTCTCCACCTTTGTCTTTTAGATGTGCCTTCCAGATGGGCCACACGGAATCATAGTCTGAGCTCTGGAATTGCCAAAGCCTGGCTTGGAATCCTAACCCTCAGGCCAGTTCAGGCAATGGACACAACACAGGCCCTCCCACAAGTCAATGCACACAATCACACCTCTTCTGGCGCAGTGACTTGTCCCACTGGGAGGCAGCACTGTCAGGTTGGCTGGTCAGTCGGTTCATACTCACATGGTTTCTAGCCCTGATGTTGACCCTCTTCTCAAACAGCTCCTTCATCCTCTCCACCTGATTCCAGCGTGAGGCCTCATGGAGCTGTCTCTCCAGGGGAAGCACTGAGGACAAAGTGGGGGTTGGGATGAGAGGAAGGACCCCCACACTCTTAGGGATGTGTTTAGGGATGGTTGGATCATTCCCAACCTTTGATGCAACCCGAGTTAGACAACAGTGCAGACTGAATGTGCTAACCTGAGGGAGACCAGAGGTGGAGTCTCCTGTTTTTAGACCTTCTTATCCCTCATTTCTCTTCTTCTTCTCTCCTTGCCCTTAATTTTAACTCTTTCACCTCCATGTCTGCTTTGCCTGGTTGGAAGATTCCCTTCTCTTCATTCTCTCTCCCTTTCAAAGCACCTTCAGGGCACAGGGAGATGGCTTGGGTAAGGTGTTTGCCTTGCAAAAGTGAGCACCTGAGCAATTGGTCTCAGATCCCTAGAACCCAATTTAAAAAGAAAACAGTGGACTCTCAAGATGAGCCAGAGAATAAAGATACTTGGTGCCAAGTAAGTTTGATACCCAGGACCTACATGGTAGAAAGAAAATATCTGCAAGTTGTCCTCTGACATCTACATGAGCACTCTGGTACAAACATACCTATATATGTGCAAAAGAAGTAAATAAAAATGTGCTTTAAAAGACTGGTCAAGCCGGGCAGTGGTGGCACACGCCTTTAATCCGAGCACTTGGGAGGCAGAGGCAGGTGGATTTCTGAGTTCGAGGCCAGCCTGGTCTACAGAGTGAGTTCCAGGTCAGCCAAGGGTACACAGAGAAACCCTGTCTAGAAAAACAAAAACAAAACAAAAAAAAAAAAGATGAGTCAAGGGCTGGAGAGATGGCTCAGCGGTTAAGAGCACTGGCTGCTCTTCCAGAGGCCCTGAGTTCAATTCCCAGCAACCACATGGTGGCTCACAACCATCTGTAATGGGATCTGATGCCCTCTTCTGGTGTGTCTGAAGACAGCTACAGTGCACTCACATACATGAAAATAAATAAATAAATAAATAAATAAATAAATAAATAAATAAATAAATAAAAGGCGGGTCAACAGTTAAGAGCATTTATGGCTCCTTCAGAGAATCTGAGTTTAGATCCCAGCAGCCATCTTGGAAGGCTCGCATCTGCTCATCACTCTAGCTTCAGGGGATCGACACTTCTGGTCTCTGCAGGCACCTACCCATGCACATAGTCACACACAGACACAGACATACATACAGAAAAAAAAAATCTATAAAAAGGAGTGGAGGTAGAGTGTGAGATGGCTCATTTGGTAAGGACATTTGCTACCAAGGATGACAGCCTAAACTCAATCCCTGAGACCCACATAGTGGAAGGAAAGAACTGACTCCCAAAAGTGTCCCCTGACCTCCACAAGCACATCATGAGTGCCTGTGCACACATAACACATAATCAATCAATCAATCAATCAATCAATCAATTAGTGTAAAAGAAAGCTTGAGATGGCTCAATAAAAGTGAAGGTGTTGGCATGCAAGCCAGACAACCTGAGTTCGATTCGCAGAGCTCATGTGAAGAGCTAACTGCAGTGGAGTGCGTATGTAGTTCTGCCATTAGATAGGCGGCAGAAAGAAAAGGATTGCCCAGAAGCTGGGAGGTCAGTCAGTCTGGAGTGTGCACCACAGTTTGGCAGTAACAGCAAAGGAGATGCCACCTCAAAAACAAGGTAGAAGAAGAGAATCAACTCCTGAAAGTTGTCCTCTGCCCTCTACACATGAGCCTGGTCCTTTGTGCATCCAGGGATAGATGGCTCAGTATCTTGTCAGGGAAGGTGTGCACTGAAGTGACAGAGTTAGACTGAAACCTTGCCTGCCCATGCTGCTCACCCCACACATCTCCAGCCTCAGCAATGCACACCAGGCTCTCTGACACCTGAGCTTTTATGAGCACTGGCTCCTCTGCTCAGAATCACACACCCTCAAGTTCACTGCTCTTCCTTTGGCTGGGAGAATCCTTAAGGATCCTTTGGCTCCAGCGGAACTCTGTCACCTCTCTGAAATAATCAGCACCTTGCTAGATGTACTGGCACACACCAGTAATTCCAGCACTTAGGAGATGAAGGAGGGTCAGGAGTTCAAGGACAGTGTCAGCAAGTTGAAATCCAATGTGAGCTACATGAGATCCTGTCTTATAAAAAGGTAGGGCTGAGGGGATGACCTGAAGAGATGGCTGAGTGCTTAAGTACAGTAGCTTCTCTTACAGAAAATTTGAGTTTGGTTACGAGTATCCACATCTGGTGACTGGTAATCGACTATAACTAAGGTCTAGGGGATCTGACACCCTCTTCTGGTTTCTTCAGGTACACATAAGCACACATAAAAATAACAAAGCAAGACACACATCTTTAATCCCAACACTTGGAGGGAGAGGTAGGCAAATCTACAGCCTAGTCTATATAGTGAATTCAAAGACACCCCCCAGGAATGCACTGTGAGAATTTGTCAATAATAATAAATAATAATAATAATTAAAAGCCACACTTAAGCTTAAGGGATCCCAGTGCCTATTTCTCATTCATCTGGACAGATGGTAACAACTGCCTTCAGCATTTTGAAATCCAGTAGGCAGGAATATGGGGATTTGAGAAAGCACTACCGGGTTCAGTGGTCAGGGCTCAGCCTGGGCAGCAGGACTAAGACTTCTCAAAGGTGATGATGGACCAGTTCTCTTTCCTATCCCGGGCAGGGCACCAAAGGTCTCCCAGGAGAGCGTTGTGGGAAGCGACATGCATGCTTCCCACACATTTAGAGGTCCTGGTTCTAGGTACATTCTGAAAGAGGCATCAAAGTTCCTTATCTCATTCAGGGATAGTGCTAACCACAGCACTTCTTTCCTAGATCCTGGTTTCTCCTTTGATATGGTGTCTACACCCCATTTTATTCTGAGTGAACTGGGATCTTTAAGTGTTTGCTTTGGTGGTGGTGGCAGCGGCTGACAGGGTCTCGTGTAGCCCAGGTGGCCTTGGACTGCCTGTGTAGCCAAGGATGGAAGACGATGTGGAATTCCTGGTCCTCCTGCCTCTACTTCCCCACTGCTAGGATTACGAATGTGTACCACCATGCCTGGTTTTACATGGTACTTGGGACTGAACCCAAGGCCTTGTGCATATTAAACAAACATTCTACCGGCCGAACTGTGTGCACTCCTAGTCCTGATTTCAGCATTTCTACCAATATACAGTCACGTGACCTCACCCTCTCCCTCAGCTTTCTCATTTGAAAAAATGGAGATGGTAATAGGCCCAACCCGTATGGTAGCAAAGGTAGCAGACTGGCCTGACCTACTTTAAGGCCTGCCACACAAAGCAAGTTATTCTCAAGGATCGCTGTCACTCCCAGCTTGCTGCTTGCTGCGTTCAGGACACCCTGAGTCCTGTATGTGCAGCCACTGCACCCTACACCTGTGCAACATTCTTCTGTTTCTTCGGGAGCCACAGAGAAGACTGAGGCAGAGGTGTCCAGGCCAAGGGCCAGCCTCTCCCTGGGTCGCCCTCTGTGAACCTGGGGTCCTCCCACCAGGCCTCAGTTCTTCCCGCTTCCACGTCCCCCGCCCCCGCCAGCGCCACCGGGACTCACAGCCTTGGGTCTCCCAAGCCAGCTCCTCCTCCATCCTGCTGCTCCGAGCTCGTGCTTGGCGCTGAGTTGCCAGGGCGAGGAGAGCGCAGAGCCGGGAGCGCGCAGAGCGGGGGGAGTGGGCGGTGGAAGCTTCACATCTCTCAGTAGCCCCTTCTCGCTATCAGCTCATCCGTGAATCCGACTGGCGCAACCGCAGCTTCCACACCCCCTCCCCGCCCCCGCTCTGTGCCTTCAAGCTGCCCCAGGTCCCTGTGCGCGGCTCCCCTGGGACCCTCCCAACCTTGATGCCTCAATGGGCCCTTCCACTCTGGACACTTCAGACCCTACTACCCCACCAAGCCTACGGACATAGGACAAAAGATGTATTCACGATCAGAAAAATTGGGTTACAACAACGAGATATAAATTACATTATTTAGATTGGCCAAAACCAAACGCAAACAAGCAGAAACACGGAGAAAGTTGGAAGATGCCAGATGCCAGATGCCAGATGCCAGAGCAGACGGTGCAGCTGTCCCAGCGAGTGTGGTCTGCCGGTGGCAGCAGCCTAAGGTTGGCATTCTGGAATCCAGACTGCCAGAAAGGAGGGGAAAGACTTTTTAACCCGAAGGAAGTAAAATAAATCAAAGCTAAACAAATTAATGAAATTAACATTGTAAAAATTCCGCCAGCAAAATGAATCATTCTCCATGCTGCCTAAGAATCTAAAAAACTGCTTTTTCTTTCTGGGCACAACGTGCTTCCAATCCTTTCCCCTCAGCAGGCTACTTCCCTGCCATTTTTTTGGGAGACTGGCTGAAGTGTCAAATTCCCAGTGTTAACTGTACCACCAACACTTCTCCACGTTGACGTAGCCTTTAATTGTTAGAGCATGGTCACGATTTTAGAATTCCATGACAGTCAAATCACACTAGGCTTTGGGCCCGTTTCGCTGTAATTTAATATTAAAAAGAAATAAAACATTGGGGGGTTTTTCTCCTTTGTTTATTTGTTTTGTTTTGGTTTTTGTTTGTTTGTTTGTTTGTTTGTTTGTTTTTCGAGACAGAGTTTCTCTGTGTAGCCCAGGACCTCACTCTGTAGACCAGGCTGGCCTCGAATTCAGAAATTTACCTGCCTCTGCCTCCCAAGTGCTGGGATTAAAGGCGTGCGCCACCACTGCCCGGCTCCTTTGTCTATTTGTGTGTTTTGTCTGCTTCTGAGACCAAATTTAGCTTTGTTGTCCTGGCTGGTCTCCGACACAGGCTCATGTGATCTTTCACGTCGGCTTCTCTCCAGAATCAAGTGTATGTAGTCTCGCTGACTGTCCTGCAAGTTGCTGGGAAACCCTGGAGCCACCCATTACCTCCTGAAGAAGCTCAAAAATTCATACAGGCCAAAACTTATGAGCATGGCAGTATTTTATCTGTTGAGTTCTTTTGCTGCCCGTCTTCTTTGCTTCTCTGTGTGCTGTTCTTCGTTAGATGAGCAGAAGCATAAAAGGGAGGAAAGCAAGGAACGGAGGAGAGCGTGGAACAGTAAGATAGACTGCCCCCATGATGGGAGCCCAGGGCAGATGATTGTAGTTCCATATGTTTGTGTGATGTTTGGACACTACCCAGGTGTCTCTGGATTTTAGTCCCATCCTGTCCTTGCTGGAGGGGGGTGCTCTGACTGATGGCAAATGACCAGAAGATTTAGCTCAGCCCCAAAAGACTGCTCAGAATGACCCCTAGTCCCCAAATGCTCTGCTACGGAGCCTCCCTCTGGAGTAGATAAAGGTCTCTTTCCAAAGAGGGATGATTTTCGCCCCACCATGCTATTTAGAAATGATCAAACCTACAGAAAAGATAAAAGAATAGTGTTACATATTAACGTTTTTCCACATTTCAGATTTGAAGGCTTTTTAATTTTAAAAAATATATTTTATGTACATGAGTATTTTCCCTGCATGTAGCATTTTCCCTGTTGTGCACACGTGTAGTTTTCGCACTTAGGATGCAGAGTCTAGACTGGGCAGCATATCAAGTTCCAGGTCTGGCTACATAGTAAGGTTCTACCTGTAATAAATCTATCAATAAATGGATGAACACATAAATACATAAATAATTTCCACTATCAGCTGCAGCTCTGCACCCATTAACCATCTCCTCCCATGCCTCCCTCTCCTTGATCTCTCTAAACTGCAGGGATCACTATTTTGTCTCTGCTTTAAAAATCACCTTTGTATCTTACACATAAAAGTAAACACATGTATTTGCTTTTCTTTGCCTGGTTTATCACAAAGTCCTTTGGCTTTTTTCCCACCAGCCTACCCCAAACGCTTGGGATTCAACTCAGGGCCTCTCACACATGGTGGTCAAATGCTCTGCCACTGAGTTATATCCACAGCCCTTTCTTTTCCTTTAATCTATGAATCCCACCCTCTGCCCCCACCCCCACCCTTAACCCATCCTCTCTGTTGTCTGTCCTATAGACATCCCCACATTCCACCATCTGCATGCTGCCAGTCCTTCTCCACGGTGTCACTTGCTATGTTCCTATCTCCTGCATGTTTCCTTAATTTGGTGGCCCAATCTCAAGACTTGGTGGGCGTTTGGGAAGCTTTCTTTCACAGAAGTGGTATTCCATCAGAAGGTACTTCCTCTAGCTGTTTGTTGTTGGGTTTTGTTTGTTGTCGTTTTGTGGAGAGGGGCAGGGGGGAGGGTGGTTTTTGTTTTTGAGACAAGGTCTCCTGTCGCTCATGTTGGCCTCAAACTTCCTATGGAACCTGAGGATAAACTTGACCTCCTAAACAGAGCGACAGGGAGCAATTGGGTTCTGGGTTTATTTTTTTTCAAGAACCCTTACGGGTTCCGGAGGCAGAACCTGCTAGGACGGCTGAGCTCGGGTCCTCGACACAAGGGGGAGCCAGAGTCAGCAAAGCGTTGCGGCTTGCCAATACCGTAATATGTGTAGGCGTGCGCACTAGATCTGCCCTCAACACTGATAAGACAAGTTACTCGGGCCACAGGGACACAAGGGGGGAGATGGGATGGAGCTACAGTGTAACCTGACCCACTGGATCCAACCAGTGAGCTGAATCTACTGGTGAAGGATCCAAGTGGAGTCCAGAAGACAACTTGCAGGAATTCGTTCTTTCCTTCTACTACGTGTGCCTCGAGGATTAAATAGGTCCACTGGCTTGGCAGCAAGCGACCCGCTGAACCTATTTTTTGTTTTAACAGAGCCTCATGCAGTCCAGGCTGACCTTTATCTCAATTTGTAACCAAGTATGGCCTCAATGATCTTCCTGCCTCCACCTTTGAGCGAAACAAGGCCTGAGATTAGAGATATAGGTTCCAAAAATAAGCATGCACGTGATATACATACATATATGCAAGCAAACACTCACAGATATAACTTTAAATTTTTTTAAACTAAAAAAAATGATATTATTATTTAAATTTTATTAATATCATTAATATAGATCATAATTATATAATCTCATAATTATAATACGAATACATATACTGGCTAGTTTTATGCCAACTTGACACAAACTAGAGTCATTAGAGAGGAAGGAGCCTCAATAGAGAAGATGTCTCCAATGATTGGATTGTAGGCAACCCTGTACGGCATTTTCTCAATTAGTGATTGATGTGGAAGGGCCCAGCCCATTGTGGGTTGGGGACATTTTTGGGCTGAGGGTCCCGGGTTCCACATGTAAGTGGGCTGAGCAAGCCACAAAGAGCAAGCAGTTAAGCAACATCCCTCCAAACCCTCTGCATCCACTCCCGCCTCCAGGTTCCTGCCCTGTGTGAGTTCCTATTCTAAGCCAAATATATCCTTTCCTTCCCAAGTTGCTTTTTGGTCATGTTTCATCAGAGCAATAAAATTCCTAAGACAATACCTAAAACTGTTGTGAGAATTTGGTGACCCAGTGTTCTCTGGAGGTTCCTGGTATGTGGCATCTGCTAGATAGGACTGGTTTGCAGCCCTCACTGCCTCCCATATGCAGGATCTCAGCAGCAGGATCCTTACCCTAGATGAGCCTTTAGTCACAAAGGCAGTGACCGATTCATCCTTGTGTTCTTTCCCAGGTTGCTTTTGGGTCATGGTGTCACACAGCCTGGTAAGATTCAACCAAATTATGCTAAAGCTCATCAGAAAGAAATAAGTCTGTAAACACCAAGAATGTCAGGAAAACAAGAATGGTGGGAGGATGATGATGCCCACCTGGAACCTCTGGACAGATGCTGACAGAAAAAAAAGTTATTTGTTTATTTGTTTTTTCCAACATGGGGAACTTAACTTGATGGTAGTCTTTTTACTGAAGGGTGAAGGCTCAACCCCCATCCCTGGAAAAAGTAAAATAATGTACACACCCTTTATAACAATTCTCTCTAAGAATCTGTTTCTCAGGGCTGGAGAGACGGTTCAGTGGATAACATTGGCCACCCTTCCAAAGGACCAAAGTTGAAATCCCAGCACCTACATGGCAGTTTAATACTGTCTGTAATTCCAGTTCCAGGGGATCTGACACCCTCACACAGATATACACGGAGGCAAAATACTAACTAAAATTTTTAAAAAAAAAAAAAGAAAGAAAGAAAAAGAAAAAAACCCATGTCTCTACAGGTCGCTACCAGTGTCGGGGGGGGGGGGGGCCGGGATGTCTTGTTCTCTTTGTTGTTTTTTTGTTTGTTTGTTTTTTTAACTGCAGTAAAGAGCTGGAAACAATCCAAGCGTGCATCAGTAGAATGAACACATCCAAATAAACAGAGATGCAGCCACACCAGCCATGCTGGAAGACTGTTAAAGAGAAAGGAGTGGATCTGTGCTTGCTGGGGTTAGAACATCTTAGAGAGACGGAACTCAATGCAGGAAGTGTTGAAGGAGTCTTTTTTTCTCTCTCTCCCTTCCTTCCTTCCTTCCTTCCTTCCTTCCTTCCTTCCTTCCTTCCTTCCTTCCTTCCTTTCTTTCTTTCTTTCTTTTTCTTTCTTTCTTTCTTCCTCTGCCCTCTCCCTTTGACAGTCTCTATACACAACTGGCTGTCCTGGAATTCACTCTGTAGAC